CAAATGCTCCAAAGACAAATCCGCCCAGCCTCCTTCACGGTTAGGGTGGCTTCCATTCTTCCCTCAGGTGAGGGTTTGATAGCCACCAAAGTAGCGCCTTGCAACGCCATGCCACCAGGCAGCTCAAGATATGGGCGTACTTGAGCTTCATGTTGCAGGCTGGGACCTGAGTCCTGTTGGAACATGCGAGGCCGACAACTGGTTCTCTCTGAACTCCTTCAGCTGCTCTGCCCCCATGGACAATGTGCCTTGGCCATCATCTGTTAGTACCAAGCTCCGAAGTGTGGGATGGCCATTGATGATTGAAGCCGGAGAAGATAGTGCCTCGTTGATGCCGCAATTAGAGAGCTGATTGTCCAGGCGACCACGAAGTTTCAGCCGCCATTGGTATAGAAAGACTCTGGCATGCTTCCATTATCCTCCAAAGATGGCTCATGCTCTCCAACAGGCTTGCAGTCAGCAGGTACCCCCAGGATCACACAATTCTGAAGTGTGCTCCCATACTCTGCCCGCCATTTCAGGAGAACTCCTCCTCAGTACCCACATCCCCAGAGGGGAGCTCAATCCGAAGATTCCTGACGTGCGTGAAGTTCCTGAGCACCTGTGCTGGCGGAGTGCTGCGAGAGCTGCAGAACAATGGCCTCCCAGTACCATTAGGGTTGCGCATGTTGTGGAACGGCTTGATGATTGTGAGGAGCATCAGCTTCAGGAAGTGCGAGAAGATGTTCCGAGGCTTTGGCGAGGACAGGTTGAGCGTGTCCTCAGCGTCGCCGTCGACCGCCACGACGCGGTCAATCTTGACATACACATCATGGACAAGGGAACAAGCCCACAGAGGCGCTTGGACACGGCGTAGCACCGGCCGAGCGATCGCACGTCCTCGACCTTGTTCAGGATCAGCAGGACGAGCGAATCCGGCAGGCAGTCGAAGTGGTCGACCTCGCGCACCAGGTCGGCGTGGATTCGAGCCTTGGAATGCATCGCACGGCACACAAGGTCACACCTTTCTGCCACGCAGCAAGACGAAACGCCCCCAAGATTGCCAGGTAAGGCTGGCTCACCCAAATGGCAGGAACCGCGGGTCCAATTGACGCGATTACCTGAAGAACAGAGGACGAACATCGGCGGTAAGAAAACAGGTGAGCGAGTAAAGAAAAATGGCAGAAATGGCAAGCGGTTAATTAAACTCACATGCATCAGAAGTGCCACAATAAATCAACAAGGACCTCAAATCGGGAACTCCACCAAGCAAATCCAAGAATGAATGGTGTACCTCAATCACCGCCACCGCAGTCGCGATTCAACTCAGGTCGGCAAATTGAGCCCGAAGCTCGACAGACCCCCAACCAAAAGCCCGACCTCTCGCCGGAACACACCCGGATCCGGCGCCGGAGAACACCGGTGATGACCTGAGCCATGAAACCGCTGGCACGCCCCCTCCGACCGAGCGAGAAACAGCCTGAACCGGGTGGTCCCTGGCTCAAAAGGGCTGCAAAATTTCGCCAAACCGGGCACAGCTCAGCTCCGCAGGCAGCTGGAACACCGGAGGGCTTCAGGTTGGGAGGCTTTTGCTGCGAATCCAACGAGGTTAGGGTTTATGGAACGAGCAGTTGAGGATTTCCCCCTTCTCCTTTCAATTCTTTTAGAGAGAGAGAGAGAGAGAGAGAGAGATGCAGAGGAAGTGTTGGAATGCTTTTCCTCCCTCTCCCACCCCGTCGGACGCGGCTTTAATACTGGGTCTCACACAGAGGCGCCTTTGAGGTGATGACGCCGTTAAGTAACGGCCCGGTGCCGTCCATCCACGTCAGCAGCAGAAACGTGGCGAGGTTAAATTCTGTAGTCTCTGTCGCCTAATCCACTGCTAGGATGGTGTTTATATATAGAATCTTATTAAAAAAAGAATTATTCGAGATCAGGATTCAGGAGAGCAATGATCCAGCTTGACGTAGTACTATAAGTTTGGTCTGAATCAACTAGCTTAGCTTTAACAAAATTTATCGAAATTAATATTAATAATTATGGATTCAAGTCGATATATGCTATCAAATATATTATATGACAAATCTAATTACATCTCCTTAGTATGATTTGATATCTTCTTATATAAATCAAATTAAACTTTATTCTTTGAATTAATACTATATTAGAATTGTATTATTTTCAAAATAGAGGTAGTAACAATATTGTGCGTGCTTGTAAGAGGTCATTTATATATATATATATATATATATATATATATATATATATATATATATATATATATATATATATATATATATATATATATATATATATATATATATATATATATATATATATACACATATATATATATATAGGGTAAGGCTATTCTGCAGCTGGTCATAGAATAACTTATTCTATAGCCACCTTGATTTACAATTTGATTTACGATAATATTTGTATCAATTTACGATAATATGAATATGCATTTACGATACTCGTGTTAGTACAACTCACGTTGATATTTACGATAATGTTATAGTAAATCACTTAGTAAGGAATTCTTTGTAATCTAAATAAATTAGCATAGTAATTATAAATAACTCAAAGTAAGCCACGAGAATAAATTATTCTATGTCCAATTTATGAGAGCATTATATATAAAATATATATAAGAAGTGTCATTTGGGTGTGATAATAGAGAGAAAACATTCAGTGCTAACCCTCTCTACGGTGGTAATATAAAACTCTTAAAACATACTAAAAAGTTTTAACGAATATAAACTAAAATGGTGCACAATGGTATCGTGTGTACGTGGATATGTCTTGCCCCAAAAGTATAGATGAAAACTCATTATGCTAAAACATACAAAATGAGAAATTTTCATATGCAATTTTTTTTCTATGTAGTGCACATGCAGCTGATTTTTTTATATAAATTTTAATAAAATAAGTTTATATTTTTTTATGACGAAGTATGTCCACTATTTATTTAAAAAAACACTTCTAAGTATACCTTCTAATTTATGTGAATTTCATGCATCCATTTAAGAGGTGATAATTTGTACTTAGTGTTATCATAGACATTTTGTCGGTGTTTTCGGACCACCGACGAGTAAATTTGTATTTGCGCGTCTGGCTCGGATGGTGTGCTCGGATGACACAAGGATTTATATTAGTTCGGACGGAACGTCCCTACGTCCAGTTCGCTGCTGCTCGTGTTACCGACACTTGGTTTGCAGTAGGGGTTACAAACAGACGAGAGAGGGAGAGGATCCCAGGTCTCTGGTGGAAGGAGTGAACGGATGCTGAGAGCTCGCTTGCCGCTCAGTCGTGTGCTCGTGTCGTGCTCTTTGTGTCTCGATGTTCCCTTTCATGGAGCACCATGCTTTCCCTTTTATAGGTGAAGGGAAAACGCGGGTTACAGAGGAGGAAAATGAGAAGAACGAGAGAGAGAAAAAGACTTCCAAGGTTGTCGGGTCCTTCTTCTCCTTCATGCGGGTCCCGCCAATCCTGTAGATGTCAACAGTGACGGCTCCATGTCGCAGCCCTGTTATCACTAAGCGCCATCTGTGAAAGTCATTCTTAGGTCATGGCGTTCCACTCCGAATCCGTCGCAGGGCGTCGTGGTGAACCACGCGTCTGTCGGCGTCCGTCTGAGATTAAGCGAACGACCAAACACGCCCACAATCTTTATTCTTGATGTAATCCCGGTATGGCCCGTCATAGCCACGCAGGTTACTTTGAAGTGTGCCACCTCTTCTCTAGCGTCGAGTTTTGACCCAGACCCATCGCTTAGACACAGGTGGTTGGCGGTGGTATGGGTCCCCGTTGACGCCGAGACGCAATAGCGTTTTCCTCGATGGAATGAAAACATGGTGTTGGTGAGCTGTTAATGAGCTAGTTCGAGTGGGGTCACGGCTTCCCGTTCACGGAAGTCGACATGGGTCAGTTGTTGACCAAACTCGGACTCTTGGCGACCAATCCATATAGTTCTTGGGTCCATTCGGCCGATCCCAAGGGCTCGTTGCCTTTCTTTGAGGAAAAACCAAGAATGAAACCGACCAAGACTCGAACGTGGCCGGGATGCTCATGGCGCTCGTCTTGCGCCTGGTCTTGAACCGCTAGTGGGCCCATCCCTTTCCACCCCTCGCTCTAAGGGTGCCCCGGAGCGGCTGTGAACCCATCGGTGGGCCAGCCTTTGAACTCTTAGTCCTGAATGGGTCGTAGGAGCGTTTTCAGCTCTGTATCCCTCCTTACCTACGATGGTTCTTGGCCCATCGATCGGCGAACTCATCATCCGGCGTGTCCTTGGTAGCGGCCAGGAGATAAGCGTGTGCCACGATCTTGGAGGAGGTGGCGTGACCTGGCAGCGCGTGGCAGCGTGAACCTAGGTAGACGGTTCGCCTTCTTGCCCCACTCTGTCCTATAAATAGTGACCTTCCTCTTTCACGTTTCTGCACACCAAAACCACAGCCTTATCTTCTCCATTTCTCTACCGCCACCATTCGGATCTGTCGTGCCTGCTAATCCGCCGTCGGAGCCCTAGATCTGTAGCTTCCGCTTCTCCGCCACTGCCTTTGCTTCTCCGCAACTGCCTCCATCCTCTATGGATTCATGGTACCACTCCGATGTTATCCATGTGCACATGGAGGGCCTCATCAAGCGTAGTCTTCTCCACGGGAGGACCGATGTGGCGGAGTAGCTTGTGCCCAGTCGTGAGGATGCACCGGCGCCACCCGATGGCTACATCGTCTCCTTCGCGCTCTTCCACAAGTGCGGACTCACGGTTCCTCCCTACCCGTTCTTCCAGGGTCTGCTACACCACTATCAGATTGAGCTGCAGCACTTGAACTCCAATGGGATCCGGCACATCGCAGCCTTCATCATGATGTATGAGGGGTACCTAGGGATCGAGCCCTACTTCAAGCTGTGGAGATATTTCTTCTCTATCTCCTTCATCAAAAAGAAGGAGAGAGGCCAGGAGATCCCGATGCCAATGGGATGCGCGGGCTTCCACCTCCGGGGGCAGCAGGTGACCGAGTACATGCCCAGCCACCTCTCCAGATCCAACAAGGGGTGGCACTTGAAAGCATCTAGGCCCCTAGTTGGGTTTCGGTGATTAATGACAATACGAGATTACTATGACTAACGTGTGTTTTGTAGATGTAATTAAGTTAGGTCATGGTAATGGCAATTAATTGGGCAATCATGGTTGTCATGCCCCTACGATGAAAATTATTTCGGTTTTTAAAGGATGGACGACAAGGTTAAGGATGGACTAGTTCTAAATGTCGTTTGGTGTTGAAGAGACACTTAGAGTAGTTTAGGACTTTGTTTTTCCTTTGGCCGTACTATTAAGGGGGTATGGACTAGTAGCTTGACCTAGGTGAGTCTAGTGGGTTAGGTGTGGTGCACACTTATCAAATCTAGCACTAGGTAGCTCTGAAGTAGCCCTTAGATCAATTGGAGAAAACTTCATTCACATATGATTTTGGGTTGGAAGTGAATGGAGGGTCAAATGTTGACCGGACGCTGGTCCCGGTGTGACCGGACACTGGCAGTAGAGTCCGGTCAGTTCATTTGATCAAGTGAAGTCGTCTGGATGCGACCGGACGCTAAGTGAAATGTGACCGGACGCTGGGTGCCAGAGTCCGGTCAGCTCCAGTAAGGATCAAGAGAGGGAGAATCCTGATCGGATGCGTCCGGTCAGTGCTGACCGGATGCTGGTCAAGTTCCGGTTACTGACCGGACGCTGAACAGCGAAGTGACCTCTGGGCTCCAGCGTCCGGTCAACATCAGTAAGGTTCCAGAGAGCAGTTTTTGTGACCGGATGTGTCCGATCAATGCTGACCGGACGTAGGTCAGAGTCCGATCACAACTTAATGGCTCAGTGGCGGGGAGAACTGACCGGAGCGTCCGGTCACCTTGACCGAAGCGTCCGGTCACCCCGCAGAATGCTGACTCAGGCACATAACGGTTCATTTTGAATGAGGGGGTATAAATACTTCCTCTATTCATTCAAGGAAGTACTCTTGCCCATTTCAACAGCTGAGAAACACCCTTGAGAGTGCCAAGGAGAGCAAGAGCCTAGTGAGGTGATTGAGATTTGAGAATCCAAGATTAAGGCCTCATTAGTGAAAAGAGGGTAGCAAGTGTGCATACACCCTTCTCATTAGGCTTGTTGTGGTCAAGTGAGAGTTCTTGCTTGTTACTCTTGGTGATTGACATCACCTAGACGGTTGGTGGTGATTGGGAGTTTGGTATTCATCCAGCGTAGCTTGTGGATGACCCAACTAAAGTTGTGAGCGGTTGTGGGTGATTCACTATGATGGAGTGTCGAAGAATCAACCTATAGAGAGCACTTGATCCTTGCGCGGATCAAGGGGGAGCTACACCCTTGCGCGGGTGCTCCAACGAGGACTAGTGGGGAGTGGCGACTCTCCGATACCTCGGC